GTGCTAGAATGGACAAAAGGAGAGTGGTTGGGTCTCAGGCTGAAAATACCGCCCAAGACCAGAATATAAAAGGCCTGGTATGCCTTGGTATGCCTTTTAAAGGCAATAGGGAGCCATTAGAGGATTTTAGTACAAGAGTCACACAATCAGATTTTGCTGTTATCTTGATAAGTCAGTTATCAATTTATTGTCTCTCAGCTCCAAATTCATCCTACATTGCCTTGGTTTAAATAGGCCTAGGACCTTTAAATGTTTCTCCCTTGCCAGCTGTCATGACGTTAAGCTTTGTCAGTACACGGCACTCAAAGAGGAGAGACACTGGAGGAGAAAGTGATCCATCTTGCTGGTTCAAGTGGGCCCCTCTTGCTAGGATCCAGGAACCTACAATTGCTCCAGTGCCAGGACCCTGCAGCACACAGCTTTTCCAACCTCTGGAGAAGCTGCAGTACATGATCCCATGAGTGCCTAACTGCTGTAGTACATGCCCACAACACAGCTGATTGCCCTGTGTGTTCTGTGCTTGGATGAGGAACTCCCAGAGTTCGTGTGTGAAAGGGTTGGTCCTCAGCGTGGTGCCATTGGGAGGTGGAACCTTTGAGAGATGGGGCCTGGTGGGAGATGTTTGGATCATTGGGAGTGTGCGTCTGAGGGGAGTTGAGGGACCTCAGTCTCCTCCTTTTCACTTTGCTTCTTTGGTTCATGAGGTGAGTGGTATGGTACACCACACACTCCCACCATGATGTGTTCTCAGCACCAAAGGTGCAAAGCAGTGGAGCTGCTTGATCTTGGCTGGAACTAAAAGCCCAAATAAACCATTTCTTCTTTAAAATTAATTGCTTCAGGTATTTGGTTATAGTGATGGGAAGCTGACTAATATACCCTGGCACTTCTCTTGGAAAGCTTTGTAGCAAAGTGCTGCTAGTGAGTCACTTTTGTGTAAATGGTTTCCCTGGCATCCCAGCATGTGGATTCTGCCTGCCTGGCACCTCTGCAATTTCTCTGTCCTCTAGTGAACTGTGGCCATGCTTTCTGCAACGAGTTCTGGAAGAGGTCTCAATTCATCTCAAGGGTAGTGTTTGCTCTTTTTTTCTGTGATTCCTGTATTCTTTGAATCTTGCCTTACATTTTTGTTGTTGTTTTCGAGATATCACTATGTAGTCTAGGGTAGCCTTAAAGTTGCTATATAGCCCATGCTGGCCTTGAACTCACAATCTTCCTGCCTTAGTCTCTCAAGAACTGGGATTGCAGGCATGTGCCACCATGTCTGGTTTACTTTATATCTTACTAGCTAGTCCTCCATTACTTCAATCCTATTATTGTCAAAAATTTTTTATATTGAAGCTGTCCTGTTAAAATTATTAGATAATTTCTTTCTCTTTGTAGGACTCTGTAATATGTATCAACTGGAACTGGTATGGGTGGGCTGAAAGGAGTTGGGTGAGGCTTCAGGCAGGGAGCATGGTTAGGACAATATGGCAGCTCTTTGGGGAACAAATCTTTTTTTTATTAATTATATTGGTACATTTAAGGTATGCAATATAATGACATTCATCATTAGAAATTTGCACCTTTACATAATCCATTTTGGTTCTTATTTTTTCCCCATTCCCCTGCCCTCCCTTCAACCCCTCCACCCCTCCCTATTTACAAAGACTTTGCTTTCATTTTTTCATTTTCTCATATTACTTCCATTCCCTTCTTTCTTTTACCCTATCCCTCCCATTTCCTCTTCCCCTTTGCACCTTTTTTCCTATTTCACATTATCTATTATACCTTTTAGTCCTTATTTACACTTTCACTTTCTCACACTAGAGAAATTATTTGGTATTTACACATGTGTGTCCTATTGATTTCACTTAAGAGTGTCGCCTCAATGTGCATCCATTTAGCTATAAATGTCCCTAATTTCTCATTCTTTATGGCTGAGTAATACCCCATTTTATTAAAAAAAACCCCACATTTTCTTTATCCAGTCTCCAGTTGATGGGCATCTGGGTTGTTTCCAAGTTTTAGCTATCACAAATTGTACTGCTATGAACATGGGTGCCCATATATCACTGTGTATGATTCTTTTAATTCTTTGGGGAAGATACCCAGCAGGGGAATAGCTGGGTCAAATGGGGCTTCTAGTCCTAGTTGTTTGAGTTATCACTCCATACTGATTTCCACTGTGGTTGCATCAGTCTACACTCCCATGGGAAAATGTAGCAGGGTTCCTCTTTCCCCACAGCCCCGCCAGCATTTGTTATTGGTTGATTTCATGATGGCAGCCATTCTTTCTGGAGTGAAGTGGAATCTCAGTGTTGTTTTCATTTGCATTTCTCAAATGACCAGTGATGTGGAACATTTGTTCATGTTTATTTGCTATTTCTACTTCTTTGTCTGAGAAATGTCTGTTCATTTCAGATGCCCATTTTTGGATTGGGTCTTTAAATTTGGGAGGTCTGATTTTTTAGAAGTTCTTTATAGATTCGAGATAGTAGACCTTTGTCTGAGGGAACCACTGGTGAAAATTTTTTCCCGTACTGTGGGTTGTCTCTTCACACTGTTGGTAGTTTCTCTTGCTGTGCAGAAGCTTTTTAATAAGAAGAGATCCCACTTGTTGATTGTTTGTGCTAGTTCACAGGCAAGGCAACTGAGGTTTTGTTCATAAAATCTTTTCCTACACCAATGTCTTCATGAGTTCTACCTAACCTCTGTTCCAGCTCGTTCAGCATTTCTATTTTAATATTTAGATCTTTAATCCATTTCGATTTTAGTTTAGTGCATGGTGAGAGATATAGGTCTAGTTTTAATCTTTGGCAAGTTGAAAGTCAATTTTTCCAGCACCATTTATTCAAGAGGCTATCTTTCCTCCAGTGAGGGTGTTTGGCTCCTTTGTCAAAGATGAGGTGGCTGAGTGTGTCTGGAGTTGTTTCTACATCTTCTAATCTGTTCTACTGGTCCTCAGGTCTGTTTCTTTGCCAGTACCATGCTGTCTTTATCACAGTACCTTTGCAGTATAGTTTCAAGTTGAGGGTTGTGATACCTCCTGCCATGTCTCTGTTACCTAGAATTGCTTTTGCTATTCTGGGTCTCTTCTTGTTTCAAATGAATTTTTGGATTGTTTTCTCAAGGTCTGTGAAGTGTGTTGCTGGGATTTCAATTGGGATTGCATTGACTCTATATAGCAGTTTTGGAAGTATGGCCATTTTCACCATGTTGATCGTTCCTACCCAGGAGCAAGGGATGTCTTTCCATTTTCTGATATCACCTTCAATCTCTCTTTTCAGAGTGCTATAGTTTTCAGAGAAGAGGTCTTTGATTTCTTTGTTAGGTTGATTCCTAGGTACTTCAGTTTTTTGCATGCTATTGTGAAAGGAATTATTTGCCCTATTTCTGTCTCAGTGAGTCTGTTGTTCATGTAGAGGAAAGCTATTGATTTTTGTGTGTTGACCTTGTATCCAGCTACTCTATTGAATTTGGTTAATAAGTCTAGAAGACTTTTGGTGGAGTTGGGGAACAAATCTTGGGAGCTTCATTGCTTTGGAAGATAATTGAAATAGGGAGAGATAAGAGGCAGGTATTTAGGAAAGAGAATCCACAGGACTTTGTAAACAAAAGTGGAGAAGGATGAGAAGAGAAGTGTGTATAGTAACTCCCAGTTTCCACACTTGGATGACTGTATACATGGTAGTGGTGCCATTAAGAATGTGGATACCTTTGAAGGAGGGTCAGATAAAATTCTTCTCCTACGTTCCCTTATTCTCAGGAGTTCTGTGCACTCTTGAGTCACAAAGACTTGGAATCATAGACTCCTTGAGTGGAGAGGCACTAAAATCCAACTTTCTGCCTTTGGGCCATATGAGCCATTTGTCCACATCAGACGTGAAAAAGTAAGGGGAAAGGTACATTCCATATTAACATCTCACTATACCAACATTTTGTAAAGTTCTTTTCAATTCTTAGCTTCTAGGTTCGGTGGGCCTTCTTCAATTATACATTCTAGGGCATCAACTCTTACAATTCAATAAATTTCCTATTAAGTGAAACCTACTTGCCTCCCAAAGGGGAACAGCAGGTCAACACATACTTGCTAAGTGCTGAAGAATATAGATCTCATCAAATATCAACTGTAGGCTCATTTCTGGAAATTCTCATTAGATTTTATTGGTGTGGGCTATCCAGGGCTTCAGTTAGAGAAATGAGAGCCTCCAGTTACGTGAATGAAAGGCTGGAGAATCTCAGAGAAAGTGTTTATAAACACTTTTGGAACCAAGAGGCAGGCAACTGTACATTCTTGCTTGGGTTTGGAATAGGAGGTGGTAAGTTTTGGACATCTGATTAGTCGTGCTTCGAACGCACTCCCTACTTTTCACAGTTTAATTCTTCCCTCAGAACTGGGCTTGCCTTCCCTGACCTCGCTGTCAGTTCCATTATACCATCTCAGGACATTTCTCACCCATACTCTCTCCTTGGGAGCACTTAGCTTTAATTTTACATAACTTGCAAGATTCTACAATCAACACGCATTTCCCCTCATTGACTGCAAAGACAAGGGCAGGATGGGTCAGTTTTTGCTCACTCTAGAATTCCAATGCTTCGCCCAGTGCCTGTAACTCAGAGTTGAGTACCTACTGGTAAAAATGATTGACTGGTGTCAGCTTATAATGGCTAGCCATATTGCTGGTCCTCCAAAGGCGTCGTCATAACCCTGTTACATGAAAAAGCAGGTCTGCTCCTCAGGAAGGCTTTGATTTCAGATTCCGTTTCCAAATCTCTGTTCTCAGTGTAAGACGTCATAAAATAGTAGTTCTGGGCACCAAATGCACACACAATTTGGTCAGAAAGCACCTCCCCACCATGTTTACTTTAGATCCCGGAGTCCTTCCTGTGCTCTAGGAAGAGGGAGCTCTGAAATCCAGGTGGGCCCTGGGGCGGGCCTGGTCCCCCAGTCCAGCCCGCTCTGGGACAGTCCGCGAGCTCCCTCCCCTCCCTCCACATCCCCTTGGAGTTGCTACCTTAGGCTCGCTCCCAAACTGGTTGTCTGGCTTCAGAGGACACCTCGCGCCTGGCCTCAGACGGGAGCTGTGAGGAAAGCTCCGAGGCCTGGCACCTTTGGCAGAGGGGGAGCAGCGGGACCTGGGCGGTAAGAGCGGTGCCAGCCAGGGGGGACTGGAGCGCGGGCGCGGCGGGCGCGACCCGGCCTCTCAACGACGTCACAGAGCCTGGCTCCCGCGTCACTCGCGGAGGAGTCAGCGGTGGGGAAGGAGGCAAACTGCTGGGCTTTGCCAGGGGGCCAAGTGGCCGGCGGCGGCCGCGGCGTGGGTGGGGGTGTTAGGAACCCTGGGGAGATGTGTTGCCGTTTGCAGCGGACTTTGTGGGTTTAGACGGCTGAAGCAGGAGCTTAAAGTGATCCTTTGGCTGATGACATGAGGCAGGTGAGGGAAAGCCCTTGGGGACAATTAGTAGCAAATCCTATTTGCAGTGCTTTTTTTGGTTTGTACTGAGACCTGTTCTAAGTGTGTTCCGTATATTAACTCATTTCATCCTGACAGTCACCCCAAGGAGGCAAATACTGTGATCTCCATTTTTACGGATGAGAGGACTGTGCACAGAGCATTAAGTACTGTAACTTGATCAGCGGATGAGAGGACTGGAACCCAGGTGGCCTTTCTACATTCCTCACTCTTAACCTCTCTCATGCCAAGAAAGGAAGGTGGGGTTAGACGGTGTAGGAAGAGAGCCCGAGATACCTGGGGCACAGGGAGAGAAGGAAAATGCCCCGTAGAAAGTGGCACTGCCAGGCTGCTTTTACAAACATAATGGTCTCCATGTCAGTACACCTGGAGGTGGGCATTACGTTTGTTTTAGGAATGGGAAACAGGTTCAAAACTTGCCTGTTGTCATACAGCTGGCAGGAGGGCCAAATGTGATCCCACCTCTTCTGATTTCAAGATTGTTTTGTTTTAAGCTCCCAGGGAGGCAAGAAAAGCCTCATCTTGCTCTCTTTCCCTTTTTGTCACTTCACACTCATTTTTAAGGTGCTCACCACAACTTCCAGTCTTTCAGTCCACTTATACAGCAGTGTGCATTATCTAAATGTGTTTACCCAGGGCCTTCAGAGGTTGCTGTAGTTGGGAGATGAAGGCTGTTGCCTCTCCTTAAAGCAATTTCAAGCATCAGTGAGCAAGTAGGGGAGCTGGGTTTTGGTTAGGTATGCAGAAGGCTTTTCACAGCCTACTCCATTTGTAGAGGGCCTGCCCTGCTGGCGTTTGTTAAAGTCCTGCAGGTCCTTGCACATCTCGAGAATTCTGGAAGATTTGGGGCAGCAATGGCCCACAGGCAAGACCTAGACAAATAATCGTTGGCCATCACCCTCCTTTCCAAGGCCTCTGTGGACCACCAGGGGTTGGCATAGGCACCTGACTGGCAAAGTGTGCTTTGGGCTGCAGGTGCAGCCTTCAGGAGAAAAAGAATGCTTTGGCCTCTGTTGTGTGTGCACACAGGAAGGTGAGCAGAATAAGCAAAAGTGACATGACTGAATAAAAATGATTTTTTTGTGCCGAAAAGAACAGGTTTTTCAGGCAAACCAGTAACCAGCTGGGGATGGAATATGAAAAAATGGAATTTTAATGCTACAGATTAAATGTTAAAGAGGAATTTTATGATGGTGTCTCACTGAGATAGTCTGACATCTGTAGGAGGCTAAGTTAAGAGGGAGATTTATCTGTCAATAAATATAATAGAAAGTGGCAAAGAATACCACTTTACAAGGAAACAAACACAAGATTCAGGGAAGTTGCTTTGTTCTAAGAGAGAGGCAGGGGTGGGAGAGGGAGGTGCACATAGATAGATGTGACTGGTGGTGGCCTAGGTCTTGCAGTAGGTGGTGGATTTTTATGGGTGTTCATTATGTTTCAGAACTTATGTGGACCTTTTAGTGCTTCAAATAGTAGATTTAAATCTTTTAAAATAAACCTATTGAATAAGTCACACATTCTCTGTTTTTTTGTATAGTTAACAGTTGACTACATCCTTTCTCACCATTTCATTTTTTCTTTTCTACTATATCAATTCATCAATATGCAAACATGGTCTAATTTCGCTCAATGAATTCACTTCCATCTCTGCCTCATTTGTCTGCTCCCCTCTACAGAAAAGTTCTTTAAGAGCATTGTCTGTGCTTTCTACCCCCCCGCCCCCCTTTTTTGGGTACTGGGGAATCAAACTCCGGTCCTTGCACCTGCGCAGCAGGTGGCGAAACCACTGAGCTAAATCCCTGGCACTGCTTTCTGCCTCTTAATTCTCCTCCCAGTCTCTCTTGAATCAACTTGAGTCAGGGTTTCTTCCCTATCACTCCACAGAAACTACATTTGTCAAGGTCCCCCAAGATAAACTACTAAATCCAAGATGATCTCTCAGCCTCAGCTCAACCTATCGGCATCATTTGACCCTGTTAACTACGCTCTCAGCCTTGAAACACTTTATTTCCTTTGCTTCCAGGATATCAGATACATGGTTTCTCTCCTTCCTCATTGGCTGTTTCTTTGCAATCTCTTTGCTGTTTTTTTCTCCTCTGTTTGCTACCTTGATCTGACAGCATCCCAGGATCTGACCTTAGACTTCTTAGTCTGTACTCAGTCTTTTTTTGATGTCATCAAGATTCATGTTTGTTTTTTGGTTTTTTTTTTTGGTACCAGGGATTGACCTTGGGACCTTGCACTTTCGAGGCAGGCAACAAAACCACTAAGCTAAATCCCCGGCCCAAGATTCATGTTTTGAATATCAATTTTATTCTTCAGCCTGAATCCTTCCTTAGACTCCGTGTTCAGATATCTAGCTGTCAATCTGATCACACCACTAGATCCCTAACAGGTTTCCTGGACTTAACATGTCTGTTATGATTTGGATCTAAACCCCAAAAGTCTCATGTATTCATTAGAGGGGATTTTGGAAGGTGATTGGATCATGGGGGAAATAGTGGATTAATTCTTTGATGAGTGCATAACTGAATGTGCAGGTAGAAGGTGAGGCCTGGCCAGAAGGGGTGAGTCACTGGGGTATGACCTGGAAGGGTGTGTTCTTTTCCCCAGCTCCCTTTTTGTTCTCTGCTTCATGGCTGCTATGGGGAGAACAGCTTTCCTCTACTATGAGTTTCTGCCTTGGAGCCAGCTAACCATGGGCTGAATCCTCTGAAAACTACAAGCCAAAACGAGCCTCTCATCTTTTAAGTTGTGAGTGTCAGGTATTCGGTGCCAGCAATAGGGAAGTGATTGATACCAGATGTGGAGTCATTACCATGATTTTACCTGACCAACTGGTTCTGAAACCTTTGGAATTGCTCTGTGGGAGGAGTTTGGAAAAGCTTGGAAATGTAGGCTAGAGAAGCCCTAGAACTATGATGGTGAACCTTTTAGAGATGAGTGCCCAAACTGCAATCTAAAATCCACTTATTTATGACAAAGTGTCAATATGGCAATTAATCTGAATACTGAGGTGGTGTGTTTTTGTTTTTGAGCTCTGTTTTTGTTTTGAGACAGGGTTTTGCTGTGTGGTTCAAGCTGGCCTTGAATTCGCTATGCAGCCCAGGCTGGTCTTAAACTCACAACAATCCTCTTGCCTCAGCCTCCCAAGTGCTGGGCAGGTATGTGCCACCATGTCCAGCTAATATGGAGGTTTTTAGTTTAGAAACAACTCATATATATATCACTTTTTGTCTTAAAAGAAAACCAAATAACATGCATGCCATAGGTTCACCATCACTGCCCTAGAATGTTGTGAGCAGTGCTTGATGGGGGAGACAGGTCAGAGCTCAGAAGAGAAACATACTGATAGGAATGTGGACAGAAAAGGTCAGGCTCCGTAGCACCACTCCCAGCCCAGAGGAGGGGGTGCCAGCAGCACCACCCTCTGCCCCTTCAAAATAAGAAGACAAGTAAAAAAGTCTCAAAACCAGACTTCCAGATCACATACAGCAACCCCAAAGGGAAATGAGATGGAACACTCTAATACTCAACCACCTGGACTCCCTGAACTGGTAACAAAAGAGGATCTGGAAAAACATGAAAGGAGAAATAATTTTTCAGATAACAGCAGAGATTGGGATCATAGTGCAAGACATGATTAATAAATCTAGTGAGGAGCTGAGAAACATGATGGAATCTCAACATAGGAAACAAATGAAATCCATAAAACATATGCAAATAGATTTCCAGGAGATGAAAAACTCCATTGAAAGTCTACACAGCAGAATGAGCCAATGTGAGGA